TTTTTATAAGGTAAAAATAATAAAACAAGATCTTTGTCTGCAATGAGTAGACATGTTTTTTTTATTATTGTCATTAGTGATTATCTCAATTTTGGCTAAAAGAATTGACAAAATCCTACACACTGTGCCTTTTAAGTACTGTAATGAAGTAAATGCACTCTGTAGCTATACTCCTCTGGTTCTGGTTCATAAAGAGTCATCTCTGACCTAGTAAAACTTACATTCTTTCACTTTCACAGTTCATGARCGTGATCTGGAAGCGGATATAGAGGGCGATACGAGTGGGGACGTTAGAAACCTCCTCACAGCTCTCCTGCAGGTAAAGTATCCTGGAGTTTCCACTCGGCTCGTGTAACTGGACTCCTCCCATCTGTCTCTGCCCTGAAACTGAGCTCACTCTCCCTGAGCCCCATCATAACCTTTTAAACACACACTCTCTGGATGCTRTCCAGACACCCTGTCGTTAGTAAGGGCTCCATTAGCTTCAGTCGGGCAGGCCTCACTGCAGAGCTGCTCTTCTTTCAGGGGAACAGAGATGAAAGTTACGAGGTGGACGAGGACCTGGCGGAGCAAGACGCCACTGCCCTGTTTGAGGTCTGATTTTAAATCCCTCCCTCTGATGGCCTCCCAGTCGTGGTAATCAACACTAAGCAGCAGTACCGTTTGCTTGTCTCGCGCAGGCTGGCGAGGGCCGCTTTGGGACGGATGAATCCACCTTCAGCCACATCCTGGCCACCAGAAATTACCTGCAGCTCCAGGTCATCTTTAAGATATACGAGCAGGTATTTCAGTCCACAGCTGCATCAGGAAACAACCCCTCTCCATGTTTCTAACTTTACTTTTCAAATAAATCACCGCTCAGATTCTTGGGACAAGCTCTGAAGTGAATTATGGACAAAATATGACATATGTTGCTCACATGGAAGTCTTTTCTACCTGCAGCTTTCTGGAACTGAAATCCTGGATGCTATTGAGAACGAGACRACTGGAACACTGAAAAAGTGCTACATTGCGCTCGGTACGTAGGATGGCAGACATTAAACATTGTGTTGTAGACAGTACCACAGGTCAGGAGAAAGGTTTAGATGCTCATGTAGAAAACCTAAAACCTAACGTTGGTGTTCTCTATCTGACACAGTGAGAGTTGCTAAAAACCCCCAGCTCTACTTCGCCAGGCGTCTGCACGATGCCATGAAAGGAGCGGGAACCGACGAGGACACTCTGATTCGTATCATTGTGTGCCGCTCTGAGGTAAGTTGACCAAACAGGCAGAGCCAAAYGGTCAAAGCTGTTCAATTTTCAACAAACTAGAGCAAGTATTTCATCAGTATTCRTATAGCTGATAAATGATAAACACATTCAAAAATTAATGTCAGGTTTACACTGAACATTTATACATCAACACTCACTGTAAGAAATCGATGTWATCCCTCAGCCTAGAAATTATAACCACTGATCAATAAGTAGTTATTTTCAACAAGAACAAATTAATTTCATGTTAATGAGTGAAGCAAAGAAAGTTTAGGAAAAAACCTTTGTTTTCATAAACCGAAAAATAGTTGCTCTGTAGTATTACTGGGTTGCAGCCACGTGACACAGTAAGGAAGTTATTTGCTCCGGTCCAAAACAGCGAAATGGATCACAGCGAGTACGCTATTACCCTAATTGGGCTGGTGCAGATGAGATATTGCAAAAACTACGTGTACATTTAGGATATGATCCATTATGTCCTAATAAAAAAAGACATTATTTTATCTGGAGGATTCACCTGGCTTTAAGGTGATTGACATAAACTATCTGGTGCTGTGGATCTCGTATTATACGACGAGCCAGATGAAAGCTTTAAAGGGGCAATATCATGTAAAATCAACTTTTTTGAGTTTTATATTATGTTATAATGTTATACTCTAATAAAAAAACATGCCCAAAGCCTTGCTTTGACTCATTCATGGATGTTTGAGAAATCCTGCAGTGTTTTTAGGCAGCCATGCTGAGGAGCAAAACGACAGTTGGGGACCAGAAACACCTGGGACGTGTCTTTAAGCCGAACTTCGAAACTTGAAAAAGGCATTTTCAACAGAGTTCAACATAATTCACCAACACTTCTACAAAAAACGTTGCCATTGTTGTCCAAGAAGTTTTGCAACAAAAGGAAACTTGTTGTTGTTTTGACACAAAGCCACCCGTCAAAATAAAAGCCGTAACAATGTGACAATATATATCTTGCAGCTCTAATTCATATATTTAAACCCCACATAACAAGTATGCTGGTATTGAGTGGATGCATTTTATTTTTTATTTTTCGGCCTTAACAGTTCGACTTGGAGACCATCAAAGACATGTACCTGGAGAAGTACGACGTGTCTCTGAAGGATGCCATACGGGACGAGTGCAGCGGTGACTTCAAGCGTCTCCTGCTGGCCATCTGCCACTAGAAGCTGGAGATGTTTTCTGTCTAACAAACTAACTGCACTCAGTCCCTTTGAGGCATTATGTTGGGAGCAGGAGGGCACTGATGTGATGGATTTATTTACTTGTCCCACGTGTAGCTCGTTTTTTTATACTTTGTTACTATAGGGTTCATAAGTGTATCTGTCTAACTGCCCTCAGTCCAATTTTAAACTTCATTCTGACAAGCTTCACCAGCGTTTATACGATCATAGATGATTTTACTGTAAGAAAAGCAACAAGATTTCTTAGTTTTAGCTAAAAAGACATACTGATTTAATGTCACCCAGGATGATGTGACCAAATGATTTGAAGCTTGATGAGATAAAATTATAAATGTCAGCCGTGTTCTGCCCTCCTTGCTAGTTATTTGTCTGTTACAGTGCTTTCTGTTTATCTTTTTCACCCTCCGTGCCCCAAGCTCCAGTTACTCTTCACTGCTGCTACGATTAATGCAATCACTCCACAAGCCTTAAAGTTTTTGCTTTAGAATGAAGAAAGGCCAGCAGTCGCATTTTCAGACTGTTAATGATGAAGTATTACAAAGAATATGCAATGGATTCAAGTGTTTTCACAAATGATTCACAAGAGTCTATATTTTTATCAGCTGCTGAAAGTAACTATATATTATGTTGCCTGTTTTTATTCTGTTCATCAAAAACGCTTTGACAAATCCTACTACATCTTACCTTAAATACTTGATTCGTATTGTATTACTAACAGAGGAAATTAATATATAATGTTGTAGAGTTGACTGTTAGGCAGCCCAGAGGTTATGAGTGAAAATAAAACCTATAAGTATTTTTAGGGGACTCCAACATCACCTTGATAATCTGATGTTTTTTTTTTTTTTCATCTTTTTATGGCAGCTTAGATTTGACCACTTTTTAAAGCTGAACTGAACAGATACTCAAGCATTATCCCCAACCTGAATGACAATTGTTTTCCTCTCGCCTGCCAACAGTTTTGATTGAAGTACTAATAAAGATCACTATAGCATCCATGTTTGTGTGTTTTTTTTTATTCCTGATATGTGATACAGAGAACATGTAAATACAGACATTAATTTAATCAGTTTTTACTGAGAATGTAGTTATGTAATTTTCTTTATAACTACACTTTGTTCCTTTGATAAACTCAACAAATAGAGGGGAAGAGTGAGTTTGTTTCTCTTTAAAACCAGCCAGGAGTGATGAGATGCAACAGGGTGGAGTTTCCTTTCTTACATGTGGATAAAGTATCTATCAGGCAGTTACATATCAGCTGTCACCATATGCGGCAGCTTTTTCATGGTCAAAGATGCTTTGAATCGATGTGAACCAGTTGAGCTGATTGAAGTACAATAACGTATGTACAGATATACACAACTTAGTGTTGATAACAGGTTTGATTTTCCAGGTTTGATACTCCACGCACGCGTCGACGGATAAATGGAGTACACCTCGTATTCACGCCCATTTTTCCTCCCTCTTCTGTTGCTTTCAAGAACCCTCGTAAATAATATGGCTACTTGAAATAAACTGCAAAATGAGTGACATGTCTACAGAAGAGCAACGTGAATTGGTGTGCAGTTTGAACTGAATACGCACAATATATTAAATGACGATATCTAAAAAATATTGCATTCTCATTAGACTAAAAATTGCGCAAACAAAGCAAAAAAGAAGAAATAGGGGGGGAAAAGTGTTGTTGAAATAATTAATTGCCACAGGTCTCTGAAGTTTTAAATTATTTGGACAAATAATTTCATTTTCTCAAATGCTTTTAAAAGGTAGAGATTTCCTCATTTGAACTGACATGGGGAAAACAAATTTTCTGATAGGTACCTGAAAGCAGCTCCGGGATTCAGAGCCACCAGTGGCTCCGCCCCCTTCCCCTTAGACATGAATCTTGTAGCGTTGCATTTCTCGTCTTGTGTCTGTTTATGTTTATGAACAAGATGCGTTTTAATTGAATTTTACAACAGGACAAACACTAGAAACATCTCAGCTCTTCTTTTGACCGCTGGGTTCAATTAAAGGTAGGTTGTTTTGCGTGTTTCAACCGCTTTGAGGCTTCCTTTTCCCGATTGTCTTTGCTAGTAATTACAGTCATTTAGCATCCATCTTGACTGGAGGTAATTAAATCCACCGTAAGAAAGAATGGTTTTAACCTCGAACACAGGACCTTTACGTGTTTTAAAAGGTTTATAACTTATGTCGTGCTAAATATCCAGTTTTAAACAATAAAGGTCTGGTACTTTCCAGTAATATAGAGGGTAATAATCAGAGTAAACACATGAACTGTTACTGTGTTAAATGTAATGAAGAAAAAAGCTATTATTTTCACTGTAAAAAAAATAGCAAATGAATTAGTTTCTTTAGATGTGTCATATTTACGAGGACTCTTAACACGATTAAATTCTCCGATTTATGTATGATGTTAAAATGGGGAAAAGAGTTATCTTGATGGAAGAGTAGCTTGGACTCTCCAAAACAAACACAGATTTTCGTTTTTAATTTGATACTCAGAAGTGGATCCCCTGAACGCACCACGACTCTTTTTCAGCTTCAAAAGCTTTTTATAGCAAGAATCCTGGTGAACTGTTGCACTGTGGTATTCTTTGTTTATTGTATAAATACACTTTACAAAATGTTTGTAGTTTATTTATTGTAGAAGAACAGATGTTTTTACTGGGAGATCTGTTTTAATGATAAATAAACAAGCAACAGCAT